CTCTCTCTCTCTCTCTCTCTCTCTCTCTCTCTCTCTCTCTCTCTCTCGTCGACGCGCACAAAGGTTCTCCAACCGGCGGTTCTCCGCGCGCTGCACGTGTCACTAACACGAGTCCGGGACTCTCCATCGGGGCCCCGCGCCGAGTCTCGCGCGCGCGCAACGCGGGGGAACCGATGCAACTTCAAGGACGTGGCTTTTCGGCCTAAGCCTAGGCGCTTTGACCTACTGCCGCCGGAGACTTGAACGAGGGGTTAAGACATGTTCATCGAGTTCATCGAGAAGAAGGAAGAACTAGGATTATCAATCATTGCGAATGCTTGTCCGAGAAAGATAATTGATTAATACAGAGCGTAGCAAAAGTAGTACTGGTAGTAGTAGTAATGGTACCACTAATAACATACTAGCCAGCGTACATTTTGTTGAAGTTATTTATATTAATTTTTAATTTCTTATACTTTTTCTCTAAACTTTCTTTTTATTTTTTTGATCTCGTAAATGATATATATAATTTTAAATTAAAAAATTAAAATAAGTTTGGATTAAAATAAAATAAGAACTAGACAACAAAAATAAAAAGTAGTACAACAAAATTTTCATGATTTTTAGAAGGTTTAATTTATAAATAAACCTTCCAAAATTAGAATTTCAGTCCGAAATTATGTTCAAATTAATACAATTAATTTTTTAGAACAATTTTTATACATATATGTTTAAAATCATCAAATTTCAATTTTTATTCAAATTTTTATCTCAATTCCTTTCAGCTTTTATCTTTTCTTTCTGATATGATCTATCGAGATGATTTATTAACACGTTTAGTAATTCAAAAGAAGGTATTATCTATTAAAACCGACAATTATTGATAAATTTGTATTGATATATCTTATATTCTCTCTAGCGAGAATCGGGTACACCTGCGAGACAGGTTTGTTTGTTTCGCGCTCGTGGAGATGCAAAAAGAATATTATAAACCGCAATGCGCATAAGTAATCGATCGACCGGCAACAATTTATACCCGGCTTCGTCGCGGAATTCATTCGCACTCGCGTGATTCGCGGTGCTTTCTTTCGTCCCGTCGAGATTCTAATAACATGATAAGATTTCGACGCGAAACCGTAGAGTCGGCCGCGAAATCGCAGATTATTATAAAAGTCATCGTCGACACACACGAAAATGATGCGAGTATGATTGTTTATAAATGTTTATTATATATTAAAGAAATTAAATTATTGCGTTTGTTGCAAGACAAAGAGGAGGAATTTTGCTTAAAAATCCGTCGAGGAATACAGGGTTTACCTACTTCGCAGGCCGCGAGTCCGATTCCGAGGGTTAATCGGATAAGTATCCTTTTTACCGTCGAAACCTACATTCCGACAGATCCGGATCCATGGATTGGAAATGTGGATCTCATTGTAGCGAGATAAGTTTGATCGCCGGGAGATTGATTCGCGCCGGCCGGCTGATCGCGGAAAAATGGCAGGAGAAAGAAAGCCCCGACTAATAACGTGGCGGCGGCGGCGGCCTTGGAAAAATACCGCCGCCGCCGCCGCGATGCAGGCCGCGCGGATGATGGAGCGTAGGAACGTGCGCGGAAGAACCGCCGCCGCGCGCGGGCGAAAAGGAAAAAGTCTCGACGAGTTCTGATCGATGATGTCAGAGAAGGATGCGCCGCTTATCGACGTCTGCACGTGCGCCGAGATGCCGCAATTAAGCCTCTTTCTCGCTCCCTCTTTCTCCCACTTTCCATGAGCGGCCCACCCTCGTCCCGCGTAGCACGTGTACACCCGGTGTATAACCGCAATCAGCGCGAAGTCATGCGAAAAAACGAACAACGCGATAGGATGGAAACCGTTCCGATAAATGATAACATTGCATCGACATAACTGACCGACGCAATCCCTCAGTTTATTTTATAAGCCGAGACTCGCGGAATCTTATTAACCATTTATAGATTCTACCTTGTAACTGTTACACTTGTAATGCAATTTCAAGTTTCAATCAAAACAAAGTTAAAATGCGCTGTAATTAACTCTGCGGCAAAATTTTCATTTCGCCCTAGATTTAGAAGCGGAACTTAATTATGTGTAGCAAAATTAAAAACTAGTTGAATATTGTAATTGGTACAATTATAATATTTTCAATAAATTGTGGTAAATATTATAATTATTAATTAATTGATGCGTTTTTTATAAATTATAAAAACGTAACTAATGAATGCAATATTAGTAAAATATTGTCTCTTGTTTTTTTCTTCAATTTTTTTTAATGATATATTATTGCCATTTGGTTTAACGATATGTTCTTTATGGTGATTTTGTTTACGGCATGACAAAGAAGACTCGGAGGAACAGGATGCGGATATTCATAATAACGGTAACGGCTCATTCAGGATCCCTTTATGATCATTAATTCACTTGGTCGCGCTAATATCTCTGCGATATTGTTATTATATCCTCTACGTACCCCGTAGAGCTCGTCAAAAAATTTACGAGTATGTGGTTGCATCCTGCCTACTAATTATGCGCATAAAACAGGGGCGCAATGCCATTGGAGAGTCACCGCTGGTTATTCTACTAATCATCCTAGGCCTCAGAGTTCCGAGAAAGGATTCATTTAAATCTTTTAATCCTCTAAAAAATTTTGGTGATTTCAAGTAACAGTAAATTAGAATCTTTGGCTAAAGTCGCTTTTCTTTTTTACATAAGAATACTGAATTTTCGAGATCTCAGAGATGCGCAAAAAGATCTTCCAGCAAAAATCTTTCTTGAATTATAGACTTGCAGAGAATTATAAATTTTCTAAAATTCTTTCAAGACTTAACGATGAATCAGAGCTCGAAAGGCTTTAAAAAGGCCTCAGTTCTCCAAGGATTTAAAAGTTTTCGAAATCCAGAGCTACATATTTTTCGCAGATCAGTCAAGGGTTCGAAATTTCCGTTAACTCGCTTGGAACAGAGACGTGAAAGTTGAACGGATTTTTTTCCAAAATCCGGAGAGTTCATTAAGTTCCCCCAAGGTCCGAAATCCGACAGGGGGCCGTGGTTTCTGAGAACCGGCCCCAAACGGGGGTAGCCACCGTAGCCGAATTTATCGGGTCGGTTCCGGTACGCGATCACGAGCCAGGTGCAACAGGTGAGTCCGGCTCGGTGAGTCCGGGGCCCGGGCAGACACGGAGCGGCGCGGCGCGGCGCGGCGCGGTGGGCCTTATCCGCCAGGCCGACGCGGCGCGCCGCGGCTCGGCCAATCGCAGGAGAAGACCTACATACGAGGCTACCACCACCCGCGGTCGCCTAAGGACATCGGGTGCGCACAACCGGTTCGACGTAACTCCCGATCCCGTTAACGCGCGGCGCGCCGCGCATCGTGGAGGAACTCTTTCGGAGTTTAGATAGCGCGGATTCGCAGACTCCGCGCGCGCGCACGGCTGCGGTTACCCCAAAGATCCTCGCTTCTTACTTTATTTTCCTCCCTCCCCCTTTCCCTCTCCATAAGCACCTCTGTTCTCCATTTCAAGCGATCTATATATATATATATATATATCTCTCTCTCTGATTTCAATCTGAATAAATCAACTTAATAATTACTACATCCCGATTGTCAGAATATACCTGCTGACATAAATGAAATTGTTATGAATCAAGGTAAAGGAAATTTCCTACGATTAAGTGTCACGTTAAGCTGATGTAATTTATTTTTCTTACAAAAGTAATTTGTCCTACAATCAGTTTTTCAATTGAAATGTTTCAATTTTTACGAAATGTTTACAGTTTTATCAATTATACAATAAATTTGGAGATTTTATAGAAATTTATTATCTTTAAAATAGAAATTTTCTTTAATTATATGAATGAACTTGAGGATAATAACATATCTTAGAAATTTCTTATCTCGAATAAAAGTTTGGTTAAACCTCAGTAACATAATTTAATTTAACAACTTCTTTAGGAACATATTATTTCTTGAAGATTCATAATTTCCTAAAAGTTTCTGGTGAGTCAAATCGAGTAACACAATTCACAGATTTTAGGAGAATTTATATCATTTGTATACATATATATTAATTATTTTAAAAATCTTCTAAATAATTTTTTCATCCTTTTAATGATCTCCTCATCTCTTTGCAGGAATCCTCGCCGTGGTACATTTGTCGATGCATCGACGTCCGGATTTTGCGGTGAGTTTTGCATCGTTATGTTCCTATCCGGCGACACACACACACAGAGACGCGCGTGCAATTGGCGAGATGGTCCGTCGCGATAATTCCGTCCTGATCGAGGAAGGACTCGATCTGCGGTACCCGCTCCATAAATCGAGCGTTGCGCAAACCGATCCCGTAATGAATGCTAGATGTGCCCGTCGACCTACTATATAATTGATAGGAAGAGAGCAACTCTGCTCTCGGCACAGCGAATTCAATTAAAAGACATCGGCAAGCGACCGTCGTCGATCAATTCAATCGTTCGATTAGTCCGGATTTCGGTTTTTTTTTTTTTTTTTTAAAGATATTGATTTAGACTGACAGTCCGCTCCGGCACATATGCAGCTTATACTCCCAAATTCTTTTACGACAAAAACGAACGCAAACGATCCAGCGATATCGTTTTTACTCGAGTGCAACGAGACGATGATTTTACAAAGCGTATCCAATTCTGCGTTCACGTCTACAATGTTATCACTTGTGCATTTGAGAATCTCAAATGACAGCCTAAGTTCTCAAGTGTCCGGCGACTACGGTGTTACGGTCGCGCTCGGGCGTCCCGATTTGAAACGGAAGTTGCGGCGCGGGGATTTCTTTTAATCGGACGCGCGGTGCACAAGCACCTTAGTCTCATTGCAATCCTGTCGTAAGCACGCGGCGAGGCCAGGGGCTCTCCACGCGAGAGAGGATGCCACTATGTGGTGTGCATCGTGCACGCGTTATGCACGCTCGTTCTCGAAATGCACTGACGCTTGGGTGCTAATCACAGCCCGAGGCGCAGGGGCGTATCGGGAGCGGCGGCGCGGCAGAATATTTTGCCCTCCGGGAGGTCGTCGATCTTGCCCGACCTACCGATCCGGCCGTCGGTTCCATTTTGCGATTTTTTCCCTGCGATATCGCGTCGCTAGCACGACGTCGACTAAAACGTCTTGTGTCCACGATGCTAGAAATCGGTCCGAATTCTCGGACTCGGATAGAACTGTGTAGCCAATCAACTTGCAGCTTTTACGGAAAAACAGCTGTTTTATTAACCATACAATTGTCGGTCCGAAAACTTGGACCAATTTCTAGCATCGTGAAGACAATGCTTGAGATCAGTCTTAAAATTCCATATGAGCGATTTGTCGATGCTATGTGAACGCCAAGGAGATCCGAGCGACGGAGATTCCGATGTTCGTCGAGTATCCAAAAATAAAAAAAAATTAAATAATAAAATAGTAATAAAACCAGATAAAATATTAAGACATAAATTTAGAAAGTAAATAAAGTATTTGGCACGTATATCGAATTTGCTTGTACCTACATACATCAACTGTCACGCGCGAGACACTAAAATATTGGACTTGACGAATGAGTGAATTAACAAAGAGAGAAATCGAGAAGCGAAATCGAGCATTTGAGTGGCTTCTTAAAATTCCGAATTGATCCGGCGGTTTTATGTTTCTTCTATCTTTCGCGTTATCGCATCGCTAACACAGCTTGTTAAAGTCAGTTCTGGAATCGCGATTATAATGCGATCCGTTAAACAAATTGACGAATGGGGGGAAAAAAGGAAGGAAACAATATCTAACGTTCGCGGGGTAATCTCGTGAAAAATGACTGTCTGAAATTCCCAGTCGGCTTTGATTAATTAGCAGTCACGACTACTCAGCTTGTCATTTCTCGCTGCGTACAGTAAATCGCCGTGTACAACCGCCAAGATAAACAGCGTTCGCGCATAGGAAAAGCGCAGCATCAGCATCGTTATCGCTCCCCGGCGCGTCAATCTCCGCGCCTCATTGTCGATAGATTAAGGCAGATTAGGCGAGAACCTACTTTCGGATTACGCCGCCGTCCTTTCTGTTATGGAACCGAGATGTATAGAGCAACATCGCATCAATTATCGGCGACATATCGGCGAATTTGTAGTCGATTTTCCCTCGGCGGGATTCAACGTCCCGAGATGTCTGAGATAGATAGATAGGCGGAATCTGCTTTGGCGTGTTAAACCTCGCGAACGCAATATAGATAACAGGATAAATCGTGCTTCGATTAATTCTCGGTTAACAAATAGCCATGGTCAAATATACTGTATCCTACTTTCCTCGGGCGGACGTGCCCCTCGCTTCCCCCTAGGCGATGTGTGATTGCAAGTTTATTTGCAAATTATTTTGAATCCAAATTCTAAAAGAGTCACACGATCATGAGCCTACTGCTGGGAAAAGAATGATGATTTATTAACCGCATTAGCCGACAGCAGCTCATTGAAAATAATCTTGTTACTTAATTCAGTGACAGCATATATTAATGAAACAAGTACGCCATGTGCTTGTTTTAATCAAATGTTATTTATTTTCATTAGTACTATTATTGAATGCACATGATTATTTTCAATTAATGCGTTGACTGTTGGCTGTTAATACATCATTTCTTTTTCCCGGTACGATCGGGGAAGCTTCCGGTGTAGCATCGTAACGCGTAATCCTCTTTCGAGCTCAAAAGGTTGCGGAACACGTTCCCGAAGTTTCAGCGCTATCCATCTCAAGGAATATTCCGTATAAGCCGATGAAGACGTAACAAACGACGCAATTGCGGTATGTAGTAGGACACTCTCTATAAACGCGGTGCACGAATGCGCGCGCGTGTGCGCCGCGAGTACTCTATTTGCAAATGCAAAAGCGCGCGAAGACGGATAACGTTCGAGGCGTTGAAAGATGGTGGCTCGGTAGCCGGGACTTTAATAAATAATATGGGCTACGGTGTAGCCGCGGGGGCCCCCGGCCGCGGCGCGGCGGGCGCGATCTTGGCCGCCGTGGCCAAGCGCGGGCTCGCTCCACAAAGTTGCCTCCCTGTCGGTTGCGCTCTACAAAATTGCTCGCGCCTCGTCGCACCATCCTCGATGTAGGAGTATGAAAATAACCTCGCGAGATCGCTCCTTCCGCGATGAGCTATCGAACATCGGGATCTCTCTCGCTCGCTGTGAAATTTTATTCAAATATACGGCCAATGATCTTCGTGATTCGAGAGATTATGGCCGATGAAGCGGCGATTTGCAAGAAGCCCAGGTTCAATCCAGGAAGATAATAATACGGACAGTGTGATATATTTTATGAACTGTATATGTTACCGCGGCATGTTTAACATTCTTGGTGGTAAAGCTTCTCTCTCTCCTCGAGATACATTTATCAATGCAGAATAATTTATAATTATCAGTACCCGAAGATTGAAGCGGAGGATCTGAATTTGTATGCAAGAATGATAACATTCTTAAGCCTTCAAAGTTTTCGATTTGATTTGAAAAAAAAAAAATAAGAAATCTTAATGTGAAATCCAGAGTTTTCATTTGCCCTAATATCAGAGCAATTTTAGCTATGTCCACGGCGCTGGAACGATTCTCCGTCTCCCGAAAAAAAGATACATCCCGGCGATTCGAACGATTTAATCCGGGATTCCTGGGCTTAGTCGATCACCCGCAGAGTTTCAAGAGTCCATTTATTCGGGCGATTTTACAAGCGATTCAAAAAGAATCGGCGCACGGAATACCGGAGGATTTTGCGGATTCCATCAGGGATATCAGGCGAAGCGGGCGGACTCTTATCGTGTCCCGATTCCTTTGGCGGCGTTTTCCTCAGCGATCGATAACAACAAAGGCAATCGCGATAGAGTCGTGACCCAAATGCGGAATTGTTTATCGTCCGATATTGCCCGCCCGTCGCGTCTCGCACCGAGATGGGTGTGCGATCTTCGCCGCGGAGGGAAGGAGAAGAGATATTAATTCCGCCGTATCCTAATTGCATTATATCTCATGCCTCGCCTTCGCGAGAGCGGCTCGAAATCGCGGAAAAAAAATCGCGCACGCCGGCGTTGGCCAGAAAGGCAATGGGAATACATATATATCTCGCGAATACATATATCGAATTTCTCCGCGGATCCGACTCCGCGCGACAGGATATTTTCTCGAGAGCCACGGAAATATATGCAACTGAGAATAGTATACTATATAGCGCAAAAAAAAAATAGAAGTATCGGTGAGCCAAATGATGCTGACGGTAGAAAGGATCACACCGACTGAGATGCGTATCGAGCGAACTTTCGGAGCGAGGATCGAGTTTCAGAGTTTCATTTGAATTTAAATACCGGAGAGACAGAGAGATCCGCAAACGTTCAGCTCTTCCCGGAGCTCTAGCGTGAATTATTATTATTACGATAAATTAAGTTAAATCGATAATGACAAACGATTAATTATTGAATTATGCGGGATGGGCCCGTTAGTGATGATACAATCGGGGATGATTCATGCATTTATTAATGCATTAATGTGCCTAGCGAACTTGCGACAGTAGGCCTTGTGGCGTACGTGTACATTCGGTATCCTGCGTAAGCCGCGCATCCTCGCGAAATGTCGAGAGGCATATCCTAGTGCATTGTAATAAAGTACTATTATACTGCCAAGGTCGCGAAGTCGCGCGCAAGAACCGTCGGAGAGAGAATCTCGATGGCATTCCGGCTGGGAGCTTCAGCAGCTGTTCGACGCGAAACGTCGAGTTTTCGACTAATTTACGCACTTGGGTTCGGAAGATAGATACTTTTTAGTGCTTTTTCTATCTGCTTATCTTTCTCTCTCTCTTTTTCTCTCTTACATCCGTTTCGCATATAAACAGTCGGGTTACAACGAGCCTGACGCCGCCTTATTGGAATTAAATAGCGAATTAATAATCCACGTGTCCTCGACGTTAGTCGAGCTACGATAGATATCGGCGACCACCCCGACGAGTGCGTGGGTACCTATACGCGACTTTCGATAGTTCGACGACAGATATCAACAGAATTGTTTGCATTCGATGCCTCCGACGATTGACAATTATTTTATTGGCCATTTCTCGCGTATGAAACACATCGTTATGTCAACGATTTTTACATTATTTCTGAGGAAACGGAATATACGTTTATATGTATGACAGAAAGTCTCTCCTGCTTTTTAAACCTATATAATGAAAAGTAGTTTTTATG